TGAACCCTGAACCCTAAACCCTTCAGTCCTCGACGGTGTGGATGTCGACTGGGACGAAGCCCTCCAGCTCGGCTGCATCCTCGCCCTCGGCTGGAGCCTTGGCACACACGGTTGGAGGCGTTTCTCAAAGGGTTTTTTGCTTCGGGACTCCATGGATCTGCCCGGGGCACAGCCGCTTTACTTTCAGCAGCCATGCCAGTTCCTTAATATGATTTCTTACTATAAAATCCTTCAAAATGTGAGTTTTTTGGGTGGCTAAGGTACAGCCACTAACCCAGAGCGCCCAATACCCCTTAATTAAGGAATAGACCTTTAACCATAATTTTAAGGCCCCTATAGTTTAAGGAAAATTCCTTAATTAAGGGGTATTGGGTTCCGTGGGTTTGGGCGGGACTTGACCACAGAGTCTCCAGAGCCTTGAAAACTCGCAAGCCCAGCCACCAACCGCCCGGAAACCCATAATCAATATTATGCTGCTTCATATTTACGGCATACTGTAGTCTATCGTAGTTTGTTGTATTGAAACTGATCAAGCTTCTAAAACCCCAAAACCGACTGCTAATAAACCCTAAAGATTTGAAGTTCCAGGCCCACGGCCCCAGCAAACCTCTAACGCCAGGATCCCTGTCTTAAAGACCCTAACATATATAAGGGTGTGGATGATTAGAATAGGGTGTTGTAGCATACTGTAATATAGCTATGTGCAGGAACCCACAGTATAGTCTCGGTGATCATTTAGGCCCCTATGTTAAACCGAAACGCTGAATAATACTACAGCGGTGACAGGGGCATAAGTCCAGCAATGCGGCACGCCTGTTGATTGAGGAACTGGTGTAAGGTATGGTACAAGCCTGGTATGTTGCGGGCGATGTTACAAGCAGGCTGGTCTAACAGCAGAAAAATAGCCCGGACTCGGGCCAAACCAGCTCTTCAGCGCTTGATTTCAATGATTCTGCGGGTGCACCAGTGCAAAGGAACAGCGACATCACGAATGCAACATAATAGCTGGCGTACACGCAAACTTACGGCCCGAGGCATCTCTAATGTAAAGGATATGCTATAGGAAGCGGTAAGCCTGCCATGTCTACCTACAAGCCTGTCGCTATGCTCGCACAACCGCACAACCGGCACTCGCAAGCTCTCAGAAAGCCCAAAACATAAAAACACCCAAACCCTAGACTCCAAAAGCGCCCCCATTCATTGTTGTAGCCCACCCCTTGCACAAATAAAAGGCTTTGAAAAAACCCGAAACTCTTAAAGCACCCAACCTTCTGAGCCCTAAACCAAACCCTAACACCCAAACCACCACAAACCTTATAAACCCTAAACCCTAACACCCTTAACCCTATTAAACCTATAAACCCTATAAACCCCTATGAATCCTATGATCCCTATAAACCCTATAAACCCTATAAGCGCTATGAACCCTATAAACCCTATAAATCCTATCAACCGTATAAACCCTATAAATCCTAAAAACCCTATAAACCCTATAAACCCTATGAACCCCTATAAATCCTATAAACCCTATAAACCCTATAAACCCTATAAACACTACAAACCCTGAAAATCCTATAAACCCTATAAACCCTATAAACCCTGTAAACCCTATAAACCCTATAAAACCCTATAAAACCCTGCAAACCCTATAAACCCTAAGTATTAAACCCTATATATATATATATACCCTAACACCCCCAAACCTTCTGAGGGCCCTGCTGCCTCGGCCTCGCCCTCTGCGCCTTCCTTCTCCTGCGCAGGGGGGAGAGGCATGCGGGTTTTGGGGCCTACGGTTTAGGGGTTTTAGGGTTTAGGGTTTGGGGTTTAAGGCTTTTTTTTGGCTCCCACGTGGCAGCATCCGAAGGCAAAGGGTTTAAGGGTTTGGGGAGCAGGGTTTCGAGGCCTGCGACAGTCCGAAGGAAGCCCGAACAGCCCCCCAGGCACCCAGCATCGGAACCAGGTTGCATTCTTACTTAACTGTGTACAGGAACTCTCAAGTGTACCCATTTGCGAACCCATTTGCCAAACAGCCAACCGAAAGGTTTAAATAGGAGTAGAACTACACTGTAGGAAAGGACAACGGCGGGGGTTCGAACTCGTACCTGCATAAGCTTGCAAGATACACGACTCGCAGTGACCAAAGCGACTTTAAGCGCCTTGCCCCTTGAATTACTAATTGGCAGCCCCATAAATCCAAGTCAAAAGCAGTGACTACGAATTCAAGCTTTCAACATATTGCACTTAGTTACCAACCCAGGCTGTCAAAACTACCCTGATTACTCCACTCACTGTTCAGTGCGGCTGCTTCGCGACCAGTTGGCTATGACATTTTCACTCGCTAGCAAGGGCTTCTTGCCAGCGTTAGCCAGAATGCAGCCTTGGCCCCGCAGTCGCGAGGACCCTAAACCCTCAACCCCTAAACCCCTAAACCCTCTCTCATGCCACATCGTCATTGCGATCACCGCAGAGGCATCCTCCAGAGCTTTCCGCCAGCTCAGTTTTTCGTCCAAAGCTCCCTAAACCCCAAAACCCTTAACCCCTAACCCCTAAACCCCTAAACCCTTAACCCCTAAACCCTAAACCCCTAAACCCGAAGCCAATTCGCCTGGGACTCTTCATCCTCACCTGGCTCATCTGGCTCTTCCGGGTTTGCAGTCAAAGGCTAGGGGCTCATGTTTCCAGGCTTCACGGTGACAGGGACGTTAAGCAAGAAGAGGAAAGCTAGGCCCGCAGTCTGCTGCTTTGAATGCTCGAGCGACTGCAGCCATTTTGAGGGTTTAGGGTTTAAGGGTTTTAGGGTTTAGGGTTCAGGCTTCCAGGGGTACCCGGCAGTTGCAATAGGCCTGGATGCAAAAAAGGGTTCCGGGTTCAGGTATTAGGATTCAGGACGTGTTTAGGGTCGAGTCTGTGTTCGTTCCTGGCCTGGGGGTTTCGGATTTGTTAAAGTTATTTAAAGGGTCAGGGGAGTTAGGATCTAGCTTTACAAACAGAATCGCAGTACAAATAACTACGTGCATCTATAACGCCGACTCCGGTCTTCATCAACTTGCAGCCTTGCTTACCAAGCCCCGTGATCAACCAAGTAGGATCTAGGAGTCGGAGTTGTCCTTTTAAGACTTAGGCCCTAAACCCTTTTTAGGATTTAGGGTTTACTTTTGCATAAACCCTAAGCCCGAAGCCATAAACCCAAAGCCCTAAGCCCTAAACCCTTTCGGAGGGATGCGAACCCGGAGCCGAAGGGGTTTAGGGCTTAGGGTCCCAACCCTTTAAAAAAGCAGAAGAAAACAAATACCCCAGGCCCTAGGCCCGCCCTCTCTCTCTCTCTCTCTCTCTCGCTCTCTCTCGGACTCAGAGGTCTGTCAGCCGCGCGGTTGTCTAGCACTTCCTAGGGCCTAAACCCCAAAACCCTGTAGTGAAACCAAAAGCCCCCAATGCCACCCAAAATCGTTGATTCCTGAACCCTAAACCCTAAACGCCCTGAGCCTTTGATTCCTAAGCCGCAAACCGACCTCGGTCTTCGGCTTGTTCAGCTTTTCCTGGTACTTCTTCTCCTGGATGGAGCCCGTGAAGGTTTTGGGGTGTCGGGTTTAGGCATTTAGGGCTTAGGTTTAGAGTTTAGGGCTTAGGGCTTAGAGTTTGGGTTGAGGGGTTTAGGGTTTAGAGCTTGGGGCTTAGAGTTTGGGTTGAGGGGTTTAGGGTTTAGAGTTTAGGGGTTAGGGTTTATTCGGATTTAGGGCTTAAAGCCTGGAGGTTGAAGGGGTGGCTCTAGGGCTTCGGGGTTCAGGGGCTCGGGGTTTTGGTCGGCCAAGCCCTAAAGCCCTAAAGCCCCAAGTGGTAAATCTTATTATGCAAGTAATGCAGGGGCCTGCATAGTTGGAATAGGGCTTTGGGGTATGTTATGCCATACATACAATAGGTTAAGAACCCCTAAAATTATGAAGGTAACTAAACCCTAAACCCTAAACCTTTGAACCCCTAAACCCGAAACCCCTCAACCCTAAACCCCTTTTTTGCATCCCTAAACCCTAAACCCTAAACCCCTAAACCCTAAACCCTAAACCCTAAACCAGGCCCCTTTCGACCGGCATCTCCAAAGGAACCCTTTAGGGCGTTCTAGGGCTTAGGGCTTATGGCCTCTGATCTAGGACATTTTCAGGTGGGTAGTTACCGCTATAGGAGCCTTATAGAAGGTCTATATATCTTATGGAAGCCTTATAGAAGCCCTGCCATATACCCTAAACTCCCCACCTGTAGTTTCCTTTAATCGAAGATCCCTTAAAGGAGCCCTTTAGGGCCTTGAGCTCTAGATCTGCTGTGCCGGAGGCACTTCGCTTTGTTTGAGGGTTTCAGGTTCAGGGTTTTAGGGTTTAGGGTTTATAGTCTTAGGGTTCAGGGTCTAGGGAGAAATGCTTGAGAGCCTCAAACCCCTGAGCTCGAAACTCTAAACCTTATCTCGGGTTTAAGGGTTTAGGGAAGGGAACCCTAAACCCTTAAAGCCTAAACCTCACCCCCGAAACTCTTGAACCCAACACCCTAGAACCCGAAATCCCGTCCTTCTCCATGCGCGTATTTGCAGCCTGCTGCCGGACCGGATCGGTCTTGAACTCCTGCTTGGCCGAGCTCTATCGCTTGTGGAAACCGTAGTTGTAAGGCTTATTGAACAAGGTCTATCACAACCAACATACAGGGTCCTAGCGGATTTTTGTGTTAAGCGGCTGCTAGTGGGTTCAGGCAAGGTGTGAACGATTCCAACTAACCCCGGCGTCCTTCTGTCTGTACTGCCAGTCGCCTTGCACACGCTGCCATTCCAGTACCTTTGCTGGCAGGTTTAGGGTTTAGAGGTTCTGGCTCCGATCCACTCCACAAGCAAAATCAAAGATCAGGTATTGGAGTATAACGGCTACTAGTCTAGCGGCTACTACGATGGCAGGAGATTCGTTATACTTCAGGGCAGCTGTCGCCCATCCGTCCAAGGTGTTTATTTTATTATATGGTGGCGGCGTGTCACCAAACGCACCGTCAGTGCTGCTTGACGAGGCACCCCAAGAAACTAATGGGAAGTACTGCTGTAAGTTCACAAGCCTTGCCATGATGAACTGGGGTATGTGGGTACTTACGGGCGATCGGTCGCCTACAACCCAAGCCCTTGTTGGATTTACATGTTTGAGCCCGGAAGCGCCCAACCCCGAGACCCAGTTTTAAAAGCACATAAACCCATTCCCCCTAAACTCAAAACCTTCTGGGCTAAGGGTCGAAGTACAAGTTGCAACCAGGGTTAGAGGGTTCAGGGTTTCAGGATTTAGGGCTTAAGGTTCAGGGTCTAGGGTTTAATGGTTTAAGTGAAGGGATTAGAGTTTAATGAACCGGTTAAAACCGAATTTTGAGGTGTGCTTTTCTCTGCTGCTGTCTACTTCTAAACATCTGCTGACGCGGCACAGTTGCAAAGATTGGGCTCAAGGCTTCAGCCCTAAACCCGAAACCTGAACCGTAAGACCTCCAGCCCCTAATTACGCCTACAGCCTGAATCCCTTGAAGATCCCGATTCTTTGTAACAAAAACCATCGTCCAAGAATCCCTCAAAGAACCCAAAGCCCTGGAGCAGAAGGTCAGAGTTTAGGGTTTAGGGTTTAGGGTTCAGGTTTCAGGGTTTAGGATATAGGGTTTAGGGTTTAGGGTTCAGGGTTTAGGGTTTAGGGTTTAGGGTTCAGGTTTCAGGGTTTCGTATTTAGGGTTTAGGGTTTAGGGTTCAGGGTTTAGGGTTTAGGGTTCAGGTTTCAGGGTTTAGGATTTAGGGTTTAGGGTTTAGGGTTCAGGGTTTAGGGTTTAGGGTTTAGGGTTCAGGTTTCAGGGTTTAGGATTTAGGGTTTAGGGTTTAGGGTTCAGGGTTTAGGGTTTAGGAT